ATGACGACCTGATTTTGAGGTGGTTAAATTTGACTCATGTCGCTTTCCCCAGGATTTTTTTCGCTGAACATAGTTGTAAGCGATCCTTTTCTCATCACCCATCACAATTTGCGTAAGAAAGAGTGCATTTTCATATACAGCAAATCACAGATGAAATGCGACACAAAAGATTCTTTTCACTAGGAACATGTGATACCCAAACATCGTAACTATTTGAGTACCCAAGCTTCACTAAGTTCTCGTAGATGATGGATTTTGATAAATTTAGTGTTTTTGCCAATTCCAACGTTGTGTAATAACGGTTATTCTCAATTAATGTCTTGATGTGGTTGTCATCTGTAGTGGTGGGGTCTGCTTGAGCATTCTTCATCAATAAAGATACAATCACCAACTTTAAACTTAATGAACCTCTTCTGCATAGTTCTGTCAGCTAAAGCGTCTTCAGCATACACAGTTCATATCCTTTTTGTTGCTTGCGAGGTATTTTCCCTTTACGGAAAAAAATCAAGTGTCTAAAATGCACCCTATAATCTTCCATTTTCATAGGGATGCAAAATTAACACGAATTAAGTAATTTTAAACTTTCTTTCTCAAGAGATAGCTTGAAGTGTACTTTAATCGGAAATGTTAGCATATTATATCTGTCGATAAATACAAGCATATTATATCTGTCAATATATATATATATATATATATATATATATATGTGTGTGTGTGTGTGTGCGTGTGTGTGTAAGTAAGTAAGCATCAGAAGGCATTATGGATGGTTCCTTGGTCAGACCGAGTATTTTTTAGTACTCCTTATATACCGGGTGTAACGGCAAAATTGTCTAAATCGTGTAACAGCATGTGATAATTGTCCATCCCACAAAATGCTTAATATCTAAAAAAAAAAATTTAAAAAAAAGAAGCTAAATTAATTAGGCTTCTTTTTACCAGATTTTCAGATAAGACGTTTCGACGTGTTGTTACGTGTTGGAACATGAACGACTAAAAATCGGCATGAACTTTCTGAACAGCCAATATATATATATATATATATATATATATATATATATATATATATATATATATATATATATGTGTGTGTGTGTGTGCGTGTGCGCATAGTAAGGATCGTATTGGCGGATTACCTATTTTTTGTACTAAGTTAAAACTTAGTATGGTGATTAAAAAAAAACGAGAAGAAAACTCCGAACGACAACCGCAACTCAAGGTATTAATCGTGCCGAAGAGTGAATGTCTGCTGCGTTATGAGGTCGTAAACGATCCTCTACAGGTTTCGGAACCCTGTGTGTAAAAGACCGTTATCTAATGTGCCGGGAGAGTTTGGGCGCACTTTTGGCCCCGTCCGTCACTAGTGGGAACGATATGAGAACTAAAAGTCAAGCCAAAAAGTATGGCTCTTCCAGTGGATAAACAGGGAGCTTGTCGCTCAAGAGGGAACCTACCTGCCATAGGAACAAACTCCTACACAAATAATGAATCTTCAGCTCCCCACAACCGGGATAATCTCAATGATGGTCCTGTGAATTCCACAACCATACATTTAAAGAAAGAAAAGGTAAAATGATCTCGCGAGGAATACAAACTCGTTATGACTTTCATTCTATGAAGCGTGGCACAAACCTTAGAAAAGCATCACTCGCCAAACATATGATATTTGGCGCGAAAATTTTAAATTAAAAAGTACATTGACGAAAATAAACTAGCCAATGTAAGAAGGTATATCATAAGAAATAACCGAGCGACATGCTGAAATTAAAGAAATAAAATGAACTGCGCCCAGAACAGGTGTGTCCCCAGAACATGAAGGGGAACCAGAAATGAACATAAAAGTACTAACATCGCACAAACCACAGATCATAATGAATAAACTGACATATACACAAATCACTGTGAAGATAATACTGAAGGTTTAGAAGAGTTGGAAAAGTGTGATCTTAGCCGTTCACAAGCTTGCAATAAAACGAGTCCGTAACCGAATTATTTTACTGAAAACAAGAATAGTATAGAAGCAGCTAAGGAAGAAATCACGAGGCAGATAAGTCAGATACAAAATATTGAAATGGAGGAACGAGGATAACTCCCCAAATTACAACCAACAAAACAGGACCTCAAAACTATTAACCTCTACAATGCAGCACTCAAATTGATTCTGGCTGAAGGAGACCCACATAAAAGTCTCAAAGAAGCAATATATGCATCAACAATAGCAGCGACTAAAAAATTAAGCATCAAAGTAAAAAGGGCAGTCTCACAGACTTTTTTATCCACTTTGGAAAAGAAAAATAGGGAAAGGAATTGAATAACTTTAAAGTGAATTATCAGTCCTCGATGAACTGGCAAGAGGAACAAATGTAAGGAGTAGAAAAGGCAAAAAAGTAAAATTAAAATTATGTATGAAAATGAAGTCCTATCAGCTAAAGAAAAAAAGAAAACAAACAGCTGGAGGCATAAAGAATCAGACGCTATAAAAAAGATCAAGATTCTAGAGACATAACAAGATCTTTCAAACCGATGTGAAGAAATTGTACAGAAAAATAGGTAAACAAAAAATTGAAGCACCACGCCCCACCCCCGGGGAAAAAAAGCATGAGTTTGCCCTAAAGAACATAACAAAGAAGTAGATTGGATTATGTAAGAGCTAAAACGGATGAAAAATAAACCTGAGCAAGCATTGGCGGGAAGACGATGTTGAATGTGCACTGAAAAAAACACACAACTGGAAATCTCCAGGGACAGATAAATTTCCTAACTTTTGGGTCTGTTATCTAAATTCAGCACACAAAGAATTAGCTAAAGAACTTCAAGATATGCCAATGATCCAAATAAAATTAGGCATGGGCAACTAAAGAAAGTACCTCCTTCTACTCAAGAATAGTGACAAAATGTCCCAAAAACTACAGAGCAATACATATATTCCCATTGCTTACAAACTGGTGACATCTATTCTGACAAAACAGATACATTCCTTCTTAGAAAAAAATGACATACTACCTCTTGAACAAAAAAGGTGCAAACGTGGCTCTTAAAGATATAAGGACCAATTACTAATTAATAGGATGATCTTACAAAACTGCTTCATTACAAAGAAAAATCTCAGTACTGCCTGGATAGATTGCCGTAAGGCATTCGATAGTGTACCCCTTTCCTGGATCTTAAATTCTTTAAATATATACAAGGTATCACCCGTCGTCATCAATTTCACCAAATTGTCGATATGGAAATCAAAACTTCACCTCATTTCTGGTGAAATAAACATCGACAGAGGAATATTTCAAAGTGACTTTTGTCTCCCTTACTATTTTGTATATCCCTAATATCATTAACTAGCAAACTTAACAGGACGGAATATGGCTATATCTCAAAAGAATATAGGCCATCTATTTTGCATAGGTGACTTAAAGTTGTATGCTAGGGAAGACAGTGAACTAGTAGGTCTTCTGAAAACAGTAAAATGTTTCAGTGATGACATTGGAATGGAATTCGGTTTGGATAAATATGCTGACGCCATAATTTTACGAGGATCACTACAATGAACGTTTATATTTTCTGATTGCTTTTCTTAGAAAAAAGCTTCAGAAAATTTTTGACGTCTCTGAGAATGCTTTGTTTCATAATCTTCACCATAAAAAATTAGCTTAAAGATGATTTAACTCTATACCCTGTTCTGCAATCCATTTATACTCGCTGTTTCCTTCTGTCCCTCTTGCTTTCAGTGTGTGTTGTGAGAGTCAAATTCTTCAAGCTTTCTTTCTTCATTACGTGACCCCAAAATGTCAAATGTCTCTTTTTGATTTTAAGTATAAGCGTTCTTCTTGTTATAGTTTCCTTAAAACTTCCTCGTTGTTTATGTGCATGATATTCTCAGCATCCTTCTGTATAACCACATTTTACTTGCCTCAAATCTCTTCTTCATCTTTGAGAAAAAAATTCCAATATTCACTGCCATGTAGGAAAATTGATATTAGATATCATTTCAGCACTCTTTACACCATTAATCTACTGGGAGTTGGTAATTATTAAATATATTAGCACAGTACTTGTAGAATTATAGGATTTATATACGCCTGAATTGGTACTTGTAGTACCTGTGGAGTATGGATTAGTACTTGTTGTATTTGTGGAACCTGTCTTGGTTGAAAGTATCGCACTGTTTAGGATCAGAATAATATTCTATTAGAAAGAAATAAACTTTGCAAGAGGTGTCAGTATTATCATAACGGAATATCTCATTACTAAATGAAGGAGGTGAAGTTATATAACCAATAAATATAGAAGGTAACAGTGTACTTGCTATAAGATATATATATTTATATATATATATAGTTTTTTTAGCATAAGTTGTATATGAATATAAAGATGACATATCAAGTATTTATTTTTAAGTATATTTTTGCCTCATAATCAGACATTATAGATTTTCGTTTTTTTTTTATGAAAGTCTAAATTAGTAGTAATTGTCCATAGTTTCTGCAGTTTAAAGAAAATATTAATTCTGAAAGTGTTGTGGCCTGTTTAGGGGCCAGAAAGAAAGACACGGAAGACGAAGGTAGGTTGAAAAAGTATAATGAAGATATATGCAAAACAATAGTGTTAGTAATAAGCAGATTAGCACTACGTCTACTACTCCACACTCTGCGCTCCGTCCGACTCTCGCAGTTTGTATTTATGAGAGAAGGAAGAGTTCATTATACTGTAAGAGGGTTTACCACAACAGAAAGAAGACATATTTATTATTCAGGCGAGACTTCCTATAATTGTTATTGTTTTTTAATTATTTATATGAAATCTACTTTTTTTTAAAGATTGGCGGCTGGAGCTTTATTTCACCCGACCCAAATAAAACACTTGCGAATAAAAAACCCTAAATGTATTACGTGATTTTGATGGTCAAGTCAGCTACCTGACATAAATACTTTGGAACATATATCGGCCATTTTGAATCGTAAGGTAAGAAAACTTTCTTAAAAAAGATTGCTCCTAAACAAAAACCCGTTGAAAAACCGGTTCCAGTACGACCACAGTGTTAAGCAACGTCGAGCCTGGTCAGTACTTAGATGGGTGACCGCTTGGGAATACCAGATGCTGTAAGCTTGGATGTGCGGCAGGTGTAATTGATAATGGCTCGGAACTGTTAATCGGAGAGCCGAATGCCAATTCCCCCGTTGGGTTCGTTACACTCACGCGAAAATAGTCTTGGGAAATGCATGAATCCACCTCTTCTCCCTCCAGCTATGGGTTAATTAGTAAGACTTGTATCACTAAACCATTATTATCTAAAAAAAATTCTTACAATTTAAAATATTTTCTGGCTTTAAATAACCTGCAAGCGGTTGATAAGCCGTACAAACGAATTAATCTTAAAATATAGGTTTGTGTTTTGTATGGATACTCGTCGGATATTCCAAGATAACGCGTTTCATAAATTTGCTATCTGAATGGATAAGCAGATTAAAATCTGCTAATAGAAAATAAATCCAATTTTAATTAGCTTAATTAAATATAATACAATAGATGAACCGGCGAAAGTTTTACCTAGACCCAGGCACTGGTCAACGACCGAACCAAGTGGGGGCTTCTTGTTAAGCAAGCCAACACGCAGCACCCCTAAGAACCTGGCGGGTTATGGGAAAGGAAGAGGAGAATAACCGAGATTGTGAAATAAAGGTTTTTGTTTGAAAATAGACAAAGCTATTTATTTGTGTCATCATTGTATATTTAAAACATGTACGAAGGGGATTCAAAAGTAACCGGAATTGTGTCATATAATTTTATTCATTTATTGTTGCATGTTTATATTCTTATCACCTTCAACGTATTCTCCATTTGAAGCAATGCACCGGTCCAGACGTGTTTTCCACTGTTCAAAGCAACTCCTGGAACTCTTTTTTAATGACTCCGTCGTTTTCTTCTTAACCTCTTCCGCATCTGCACAACGTTTTCCTTTGAGGACTTTCTTCATTCGGGGGAATAAAAAAAATCACAGGAGACGAAATCAGGTGAATAAGGAGGGTGGGGTCATGCCATTCATGGTCAGAAACTGTCTCACACTCAAGGCGGTGTGCACTGGCGGTGTGCGCCTGGCGCATTGTCGTGATGCAACCACCCCCACACAACTTTCCCATAGGTCAGGGCGTTTTCGTCTCACCTTGTCTCGCAAACGCTTCAGGACTTCCAAGTAAAAGCCTGGTGAACAGTTTGACCAGGAGGAACAAATTCTTTGTGGAGAATTCCTTTCACAACAAAGAAACAAATCAGCATCGTCTTGACATTGGACTTCACTTGACGCGGTTTTGGTGACGTTGGATGCTCCCACTGACTTGATTGCTGCTTCGTTTCCGGTTTGTAGCCATAGCACCAGTTTTCGTCACCAGTGATGATTTTCGAAAAAAGGTCTGGATCAGCTTCTAACTGTTCTTTCAGTTTCTGTTTTCGACAGGCATCCTTTCAGCCATGGTAAAAATAAACGAAAAGGCGTGAAGCATTTCAAAACAAATGTGAACTACAGAGCTGTACGTCTTGCCACGATAACACCAGTTAGCACACTGATGCCTGATGGTTGCCTCAAGTTGCATCTAGTGGTGGAAGCCTGAACTACTACGGGCTTGTCACACTGAAAACGATTCCGGTTACTTTTGGGTCCCCCTCGTATAACAATTCGTAATAGAAACACAACATTTTTTTTTTTAACTCTAAGTCTAAACGCGGAGTTCCGGACGTTTTTTTTTAAAAAAATAGACAGGAACGAAATTGAAGTAATAATGCGTCATGTTATCATGTTCCACCCAAATATAAATACTATGCTACCGTCATTTTATAACAATTTTTAAAATCAAAATCTGCACAGCAACAAACGAAGTATTTAGAGAATAATTTTGTAATTCATTAGTCGTAGACATTATGAAAAAAAGAAGATACATTTGATTAATAGCAGACGAGAGAATGGCTGCCATTTTTTTTTTTTTATCTTTGCAACCACGTCTTTGATAAAAAATTTAAAAAATGGACAAGCGATTTGGGTTTTTATGCATAGATGCCACTCGAAATAATTTCTATCCCACCGACTTCACCGGGTCCAAACATTGGTTTAATTTGAATGACCCCTTTCAGGAATCTGAATCCAATTTCAACGCATTTTATTTTTCTAAATAAAGAAGAAAAGTCGATGAAATATCCAATGCTGTTATGAGGTCCGAATTTAGAAACCCGTCATCTTAAAATAAAACAATTCATTTACTGGAACAGACGCATGAATATTTTGTTGACTTGACTATTCACCAAACTAATATGCTACTATTAAAGGGATGAAATTTTTTATGAAGTAAGCAGCGAAGCGATCTTCCTGATTTTAATAATAGTAATATTGCCTCTATTATTACGAACAACGAGAAAATCTACAATAAAATAACTTGATTTTTTCTTCTTCCTCGTGATTGTGTTAGGATACTAGTGAAAACCGAGATAATTACAATAAAGTCTGAACAACGCTTGAGACGTGAAACCATACAGAGTTGATGCCTATGTTCATATTATATATAAATTCCATGCTAACAGTATTTTTCTATCGCACTTCTACCATGTGAAACAATCTTCTGGTTTCTTGCTTCCCAGTCAACATTGATCTTCAAAAGTTTAAATGCAATATCAATCGTTATTTTCTTTCTTCTTAATTTCCGTTCTTTTATTGTTCTTTCTCGTTAGTATTGTTTTTTTCTCATATCCTCTCACACTGAGTAAGCTCTTGCGTCTTAGGAACTTTATTGCCTTGCTTTGGGTGACATCATAAATATTATGTGTGTAATCTTTAAAAGTACTCTATTTTAAATTCTTTTAAAAGAGCTTTTTAATACATATAAATTTTTGATATTTACACATTTCCAGCACTGTTTCACGTTTCCCAAGGTCTCTTGTACCTTTCACGAATGCATCAGCGGTCCGACAGTTGGATTTAGCATGAAACAAACTGTCGACTGTGCGTGTTAACTTCAATGTATACACACACAAACACACACACACACACACACACACACACACATATATATATATATATAAAATTAGTCTGGACATTGAAATAAGTACTGCATAATTTTCCTACCCCTCACCTTTTATTAAGTATGTATTTTCATTCCATAATGAGAAAATTTTTCACCTCTTAATTATTAATAATCCTCTTATATTAGGCACTTTTGAGTAAGCGATGATCAAACTATATTTTTATTGATGATATAAGTTATCATCAATACAAATATAGTTTGATCATTGTCAGGCGTGAAAGTTACAATTACTATAATTGCTAACATTAAGATAATGAGCACCCCTATAAACATGGCAGATTTTAACCCCCCAAACATATATATATATATATATATATATATATATATATATATATATATATATATATATATATATATGGAAAGATGGATGGATGAATGGTCACTTGTATCCGAGGATACCCATCTACTAATACGGCTAGACAATCCCTGTTGCAGACGCCTGCTCAGATATATTTGTGTTTGTTCAACGCACAGAGCCCACCTATCGTTTCTACTGCAGCTATACTGAGCCGAACTTAGTAATAGTTTCTCCACCCTGGGTATGATGATAATTACGTCCAACAGAAAGGCCTCTGATCAGGAAGTTCTGAGGGGCGTGGAAGCACCTCTTAATTGCTGGTGGTCCCAGGTCCACCCTGACCCAGGGTGGTAGCACCTGTTAGGGTCCCAGCTATGGTTAACCCCCAAACTGGGGTCAAAACACTATGAAAGTGTAAAATAGGTTTTAATACCAGAAATACCTTGTAAAAAATTATTACCAGAGATACATTTTAGAAGAAAAAATATTATCAGCAATACATTTTTGAAGGAAAAAAATATTACCAGCAAAAAAAATTGTCGGCATTAAATAATCCATTGTAGTTGATATGCCGTAAAACAAACAAATAAAAATTACAGTTTCTGGGAGAGAGCTCATTGTCTAGCGTGGTCAACAGGTTGAACAAGGCCAGCACACTCAAACCCTTGGTCACGATGACTTGTGACTTCGTGCTAGAACATACATATATATTATAAATTTTATTATAATTTAATTATTTTTTATTTAATTCTATATTTTCCTTTATACCAAAAATAATGTTATCAGAAATTAAAATTTGAATTCATAATTTTCGTCAGATATACACGATTTATTTTGCTTTCCATAACTCTCTTTTATTCCTCCTGCATTGAATTATTATTTTTTACATTTATTTATATTTTACGTTTATTTTTACATTTATTTATATTTTACGTTTATTTTTAAACTTTTTCTGAGTACAAATCTCATTTACAAATATTTATTGCATTTACAAATATTTATTTTTAATTCTACAGGGGGTTCTGTGGGGTTATCTGATTTTCTAGGTCGGAACTGACCTACATAAGCACACACGAGTTTACATTTAAGAACCATAATAAAGGGCCAAAAGTTCCTCCAAAAAACAACACAAACGAGAGATAGCGAATGTAGTCTAATCGAATATGGCGTAGAGCCTGTGAAGGAACAACGCCGTCTTCCTCATATAGCGTCGCGTGACGACGTATTATATTATGGGAGATGGCGCCGTAACTACGAAATGCCCTACGTCGGGTCCGACGTAACCCGAGGACCTTCTGAATTAAGTTTTAAATTTTCAAAGATTTTCATATTAACGATAGCGTTTCGAAGTAGCAAGGTCGCCAAGATAACGATTTTTCCTTAATTTTTTCACATGTTCTGATAATTTCCTTATTGAACGAAACGTTAGCAACGGAACTGAAAAAAATTAAACATCCTATTGGTGTTCACAAATTCCTTCTTACATACTTTGTTCATATATTTTATATAAGTCATCTTCCGTTTACCCCCCCCCCTCGCGTACACACATTTGTGCGTGTTCGTATTCTGTACAACGCAGTCTGATCATGCGCTTATACAAATGTCCCAGCCCCTTGAGCTTTTAATCACGTAGGTTCAACCATTGATTGTGTTTCTTTGTTGTTCATTCAATTCAATTAAGAATTCAAATCATTCGACTTTTTGTCCCAACAGAAGATTCAGTCAGATATTTCTCGTTTGTTCGTTTTCTTTCTTCTTCTCTTCTTTTCTCTTTCTCCCTTTCCGTTTGTCTCACACTCCCTACATCATTATTCTCTCTATTTTTCTCCCTTTCATCTCTTCCTCTGTCTTTTTCTCACTCTTCTCTTCCTCGCTTCACGTCTCTTTCCTCATCTCAATTCTCAATAATTATCTTCTTTTCCTCTCTTCTTCTCTCTCTTTCCGTCTCTTCTTTTCCCGTCTCTCTCATACACTTCACATCTTCATCCTCCCTATTTCTCTCACTGTCATCTCTACCACCCTTTCTTTCTCCCTATTCTCTTCCTCTCTTCAAGTTTCTCTCATACTGTCCACATTTCCTTCCTCTCTATCGCCCCTCTTCTCTGTCTCATTGTGCCTTCGGATCGGATGGGCTTTGTTTCACTATGTTATTGTGATTTCTCGAAGCTTTTCCTGTAAACAGTTTTATAAGTTAAAGAAGAATTGTTAGTAAATGTGGCAATGTGTTCGTGGTAGTCACTTTTATCTACCTATAAAAACAATTAATTAGCTCTCGCTTTTTGTTCATTATTTATTGTCAAGGGCCCAAGATTAATATTTAGGATGGCGACAAATATTCTATTTATCAAAAGTGTTTCTTTGAAGTCGCCCCGGTATCAAGTCGGTCTTTTGAGGCCAGTGGATTGCTTTTTATTTGTATTCGAATTGATTATCGACTATTAAACTGAAAACAACCATTTGATTGGTCAATTATTATGTTTGAACGAACACGTGATGTGTTCTTTGCCATGGCCGCCGAGATCGAATTTCCTTTGTGATATCTACTGCCATTAGTCATTTGGCATTACTCACTCTATCTATCTATCTATCTATCTATCTATCTATCTATCTATCTATCTATCTATCTATTTGAAATGTTTGTAAATTACAGCAGAATTGTAAGTCTCTTCGAAAGTGATTCAAAGAAATGTTTCTTTCTCCTGAAATCTTCCTCATTACCTACATGCTCAGTCCATGGTATTCTCAGCATCCTTCTGTATAACCATATATTTGATTTTTGAAGTCTCCTCTTTCGCATGCGAGGAAATTTTTCAACATTCACTGGCGTATAGGAGAATTAATATCAAGTGACTTCCTGTTTGTTCTCTATTTTCTTAAGTAAACACCATGAAATAAACAAAAAGGTAAAATAAAATTAATTCGGAAGAGAAATTCATTGTAATAAAATTTTTTGGAAATATTTAAATATTTTCTTTGTTTCAAATTCATCGCAATTTAAAAATATATTTTTTATATATAAAAAAATGTTTTATGACCTTAACAACATAATGCATACAGATGGCACCATTGATTGGCAGACGCAGATAGAAAACTGCGGGTATTATAGAAAGGAGAATTGAGAAGAAAGGAAAAGACATAGATTGTAAGAAGACAGAAAACATTGTTCTTAGCAAGAGAAACAGCCGAAAGATGCAACTTTAAATGGAAGACCTTAAAAGGAAACAAATAGGGAAAATTAAACATCTGGAAAGTGTTTCAACAGACGATGGGAAACGGGACAGAAATCCGAAGTGCATTGGAATAGCGGATGATGCCTTCCAAAAAATAAACGAAGTATTAAGAATCAGGAAAGTTTTACTAACAAAAAAAAAAAAAACAAAAAAAAAAAAACAAAACGTTAAGAGTGCTGAATTATGTAATATCAATCCTCCTATATAGCAGGAATGCTGAACAATTTCCTCATCGATGAAGAGGAAACTTGAGCTAACAAAGATGTGCTTTTACAAAAGGATGCTGAAAATACAATGAACGGAATATGTGAGCAATGAAGAAGTTTAAAAAATGAGAAAAGGACACTTATTTAGAATCAGAAAGAGACAGTTGAAATAATCGCTTTAATTTTACAGGTACGATGATAGTATATTAAAAAATTGCCAACTTATAATTGACTAATTACTTCTCGGTAATAAGATATTTGTTTTTTGTATGAATGATTCATGTAATTATAAATTTAACCGCACCTATAATCGAAATTAAAATAACTGATCCAACGTGCAACTTTCGGATAATAAGTGTGACATTTCTGTAATTATTGAACAATATAGTTCATGCCACATTGATGGAAAACCTACCAGTACAAAAGAATTCTCTTATTATTATATTTGTACAAAAACGCACAACCTTAAAATTTAAAATTCAAACTCAGCGTTGCGACCGCACGTTCCAAAACAATAACACATTTCTCATAGCATTTTTTCGGATTACATCAATATTTTCGTTGTCCTCTTATTACCGAGAAGTAAAAAACAAGAACAAATCTATTTCCATACCTGAGGATGTCTGTAGGAACAGACGAAAGCTTGTAAAAACTAAAAAAATATTATGAAACTGGAATTTATAAACAGGGATCATATCATTCATATACAGGTTTGGTGTTAGTGTATCTTATTGAAATTGTTTGCGAAGATGTATTCTCACCATTTAAATCATTAACCTCTATATTTGTTTTTTGTATGAATGATTCATGTAATTATAAATTTAACTGCACCTATAATCGAAATATATATATATATATATATATAGTTTTTTAAAAATCATTTCACACCAAGCAAAGCGCTAAAGCCAAGTGGTGAAGACCCAATTGGTTTACTGAGAGGCAAAGAAACTAAGAAAACGTTATTGAGTAGAAAGGAGAATAAAATATCATGGTTCAAGGTGTCAGAAGATAACGATTGACATTGTATTTAAATTTTTGAGGATTCAGGAAAGCAAGAAACCGGAAAACACTAATATTTTAATTATATCTTATTATTTTAGACACTATATTTATATATAATTATATAAAACACAGGATCTCCACAGAAACAGATTTGAACTGAATCATATACACCCCATCCAAATACAGGAAATGCATCTCTTCTTGGAATAAAGTTTATCAAGCTTATCTCACAGATCATTGCTATAATAGAAAGTTTAATCCTCAACGAGGACATGCACTTATAATTCTACAACTGAAGGCCGAAACTTTGTGATAAAAACAAAAAGACGAATCCGAAGGAGTCAATATTCTTTCTTTTCTTCCGTCAGTTTTTGACCTCTCCAACTTTCAATGTCCAGCATATTCTGTTTTCATCAATTATTCATTTGATCATGTCAACGTCATATGCTTGAATCGCACCATTTCTTACCTGGTTATGTCATCGATTAACTGATATGTGATCAGGAAATTGTATGCTCAGCTTTAGAATATTCTGATACGAAAATATGTTTGAAAATTACTTTTCAAGCTCAAATCTATCTTCATATTCTCAATCAACTTTTTAATTTACCACCGCCAAATCTAAAACAAAGTTATAATTTTTTTTTATTTTTAGAAAATAGCTAAGCACATTTCTTTTTTTTTTTCAAAAATTATATGCGTTAGTCCTGAAATCTTCTAATTTTTAATACTTCATATAAATGAAGATTTCTTGCTACAGTTGAAACAACTAAGGGGATTTTTCAGTCAGCGAATGTGACAGAAGGTCGTGGTTTAAAGTTGGTCTAATTGCAATATCGTGGAAAAATTGCCCAAGTCACCTCGGCACTTCTCCTTTTGGGGACAATTCAGGCACCGGGTTATAAAATCAGCCCCCTTCCGAAGGAGAGGCACTGCCTGGGAGTGGGGTGGGTGTGGCTGGAAACTGAGGAAATTTAGAATTAATATTTTTTTTCAACCTCCCCGCATAGGCTTTCGCCGACAGCAGGTAAGTATAAGTAGAACCAACTAAGCATGCCAAACAGAATTATATAAACTCTCTATATGGGGCACCTCGAGGTGTTGCAAGGGTTAGCAAGTTTGTCTCGCTAGAAAAATTACGACTGAGTAGTGAGTTCGATTCTCACTGGGTACCCCCCCTAATTTCGGCCTTGTGCCACATCTAAGCTATGCTTGGAAAATCACTATAAACTCTCGATACTTGAAAGCGTTTTTAAAACGTGCGCGTTTGCATACACTCACAGATTTTTGATAAACAATTATTACTAACAATAAATTTTTTTACTACTAACAATAAACAAAAGAGATCTACGTCGTTGTCAGTTGATTGGGATTTGCTACCATTTGATCTTATTTTGGTACGACTGATTGTTGGTTTATCGTAATTTGTGTTACGAAGGTACAAATATCTGTTTACTGCTGTCTGTGTTTGCGGAAAACAAACTCAAAGGAATTCGAATTTCGATTTGAGAATTCTACAGTACAAGAATTGGCGACGAGGATTCGGACTTAAATTGTAGAGAACATGGAAATTCATATTTCAACAGACTTTATGTTTTTTTTTTCAGTCAGTTAACTAAACTAATATTCATATTGTTAAAAAATGATCAATAAAAAACTTTGTTGTCAGTAACTGGGTAATATCAAAAGTTAATTGAATTGAAATCACGATGCAACTGGAATTGAACTATGAAAACTGAATAAAACGGATCTTTTATTCACTTTTTTTTAAATGATGATCAAAAAGATTTTTTATTGAATATAATGATTGAAATAAAATGGCTTGATTGTTAACTAATCTGAAAATTCTGCATTCGTCGAGATTTTCCATCAATTCATTTTATAATTCGATCTTTTCTACCTAAATCTATATCGTATGGTATGACAAGGGTTTATTATAAAAAATATAAAAATCAAATTTACTGATGTCATTTGGAAGGATTTGTTATTGTGTATGGTCTGAAGCCGCCGCAGTTCGTCTCAAGGTCTTCGACAAAATCCAGAGACGGATATGCAATGTGAATGGTCTTGATCTGGCATCTCGTCTACAGTCACTTTCTCACAGATGTGCTGTGGCTTCCCTCTGTCTTTTCTACAAATACTTTCAAGGTAACTGCTCCGATGAGCTACGTTCTGCATGAATTTAAGCGTGCTATTAGGTTGGCATCTCAGTTCCACCATTTCACTGTCGAGACTATTAAATGTAGCCGTCTCTTCTACTCCAATAACTTCATGTCTCGCACTTCTCGTTTGTGGATCTCCCTCCCTCTTACTTGCTTCCCTGATAGCTATAATATTCAATTATTCAAATGCAATGTCAATCGACATCTTCAGATGCCTTGATCTAATTCCCCGCCCTTCTCTTTCCTATATCACACGTCTTTACTCTTGCTCCCACTCTCTGTAACCCCTTGCGTGCTAGTGGCGGTCTCGTTGAGAGAAATTGTATGTAATTTCATGTGTGAATCATGAATCATCAATTGGTGATTGTGAGAAAAAATAATAGGTTATATTGGTGCGATGATTCGACTATTTGGTGAAATGATGCCTTACATGACGGGGTGCATCAATTACCAACACCGGAAGATATATTTGAAAAATTAAATGACGCCTTGCATGACGGGATGTATCCATTACCAACACCGGAAAAGATATTTGAAAAATCAAATGACGCCTTGCATGACGGGATGTATCCATTACCAACACCGGAAGACATATTTGAAAAATTAAATGACGCCTTGCATGACGGGATGTATCCATTACCAACACCGGAAGACATATTTGAAAAATTAAATGACGCCTTGCATGATGAGGTGTATCCATTACCAACACCGGAAGACATATTTGAAAAATTAAATGACGCCTTGCATGATGGGATGTATCCATTACCAACACCGGAAGACATATTTGAAAAATTAAATGACGCCTTGCATGATGGGATGTATCCATTATCAACACCGGAAGACATATTTGAAAAATTAAATGACGCCTTGCATGATGGGGTGTATCCATTACCAACACCGGAAGACATATTTGAAAAATCAAATGACGCCTTGCATGACGGGATATGTCCATTCCCAACACCGGAAGACATATTTGAAAAATTAAATAATGGGTGTATTTCTTTTTTTCATAAATTGACCTTTTAGATAATTCACCTCACGTAAAAGATGTAAAAAAAAAAAAAAATAACTGACAGACATTACTAACAATAAATTTCCATTGCAGTATTTGTCATTATTATTTACTGAAACTAGTTTGGGAACAAAGGAAAAACAACGAATTCACTACTAGTAATGGTCATTCAGACTAGCTCATTAACCATTACCCGACGCTAATTTGATATTTAGTATTAAATATGCTTTTCTAATTTTTAGGCATTATGATTGATTCATTTTCTACGTCTTTGTTTTCAACACCTTGCAGGTTATTTAAAGACAGAAAATATTTTTTACATTGTAATAATTGTGGGGTGGAGATAATAAAGATTTAGTGTTACAAGTCTTACTAATTAAACCATATCTGGAAGGAGAAGAAGTGGATTCATGCCTTTCCTAAGGATATTTGCGCGTAAGTGAATATAATGAACCTGACTGGAATTGGAACTCGGCTCTCCGATTAATTGCGAGCCATTATCCATTACACCACCTACACATCCAAGTACCTGGCATTGCCATCAAACATTATGGCTGCAATGTTGACAGATTTTCTATTTGATGGTGCCTCCGTCGATGACAATTATTCAAAGTAAAAATGTAATAGAACATAAGTGTTCATTATTTTTTTTATTAAAGAATATTATATATCGAGGTACATTTCTAGACTAGAGTCACTCAAGATAGAGGGTTACTGAATTAGGTTGATGTTAGGGCTTACAAAGGGAGAAATAGGTGCATATTATGAGGATATGTAGGATAGTATCGCGAGCAGTATGTACCCCGCATGTTTGTTGGGAGAATAAACACGTATCCTCTGGAATACCCACAACAAAAATAGCGGACTCGATATGTGAGTCTACGTGAATAAATATAAAGAAACAACAAGAACCAATATATATACAAACAAATGATGATATATTAACAAGAAAGGTACACAAGTGACAAACACAATGATGTGTGTAACAAAAGAATGTGAAAACCTTTTTGGTCCACAGGATGTGAAGTGAGTGTATGTGCATACGTACGTGTGTTGTGTGTGTGTGGTTTGTTCTTGCGTTTCCCAATGGGAAACGCGTTTTCCCGCGAGAAACTTACATGTTGATGTGTAAACGGAAAAAGTAAGAAGAGGCTACGAAAAATTATCGCAAGATATTTATAGTCCGGAGAGCGTCATCTAGTAGCGGTTTCAGGAAAGTAAGTGGAATTAACCCCATAATAGTTAACGATTCACTCGAGATTTGAAGAGGTTAAGATTGTAGTGATCGGAGAAGCATCGTTTCGGGAGTTTGTTCTACAATATAACAGTTCTAAAGAAGAATCTGTCTAAATGAAACTTCCTCCTTACCAATGGATTTCAAACGGAATAAGGATGGGTCGACTCTGTTTACATGGTATGGTATGTCCTAGCTGTGGAGGTCTGAACCGATAGAACTAAGGAATGTAGTTCTTCAGAACATCTGCCATGAAAATATCAATAAAGTAGTGAGTGGCCAGCAACGTTTGGTCTGTGGGAAATCGGTTGCAAGGTGGAAAATAATTAATCAACCACAAGGCCGCGTAGACGCTTTTGAACTCTGAAAAGTGAGGATTGGCCAGCTCTAATCCAGATATGACATCAATATTTTTTGGTTTGATCTGATAGTTGTAAAATTACAGCTAGGCAGAAGTCAGGTATTTTATGGAGCGGTCCAAGGGACCGATCATTTTCAAGCGATGGATCGTATATCTGAGTTCCACTTGAGGTCTGGAGTGAGTCCCAATAGACGTTAAGAGTACAACCGTTTGTCATAACTGGAGAAAACTCAGGGTTTCCTCAGTGATGATGAAGCGTTGATGAAATTATGGCCGGAACGGATTCCTGAGAAAATAAACGCAATTAAAAATATATCACTGACAATTACTACAAATAGTCCTCCTCGTAAATTATTGTTATAAATTTGTGCCAAAATACATGGGCTTCGCATGCTCTTTAAAAACCTTTCATTAAATTACGTAAAATGACATTGGTCGTGTATACCAAAGATTTTTTAACAAATGTTCTCATTTTTTTGTAGTATTTGTCACTTACGATTATAGCACGAGTGTTAATTACACGGCATAAATTTAAAAGCATAAAACAAAAATCATTGTCCTACTTGTCCTTCATAAATTCTAATCGAACAAAAACATAATCAGATTGAAATAGAAAACCGAACAATTCTTTTTTTACTGTAAAAGTTTTCTGTTACAGGGCCAAACATTCACTCTTCAGGCCAACCATAAAATATGAAATGATACAGTTGGTTAAAAAAATAAGGTGGATAATGGACTACAATACTGGAAACCCATTTTGATTAATTATAATTTATAAATTCGAATACATTCCTTCTATTTTGCCGCGGGTGGTGTATTGGCCCGCAAACAGATCTTGAATGACGGAAGAAAACAACAAACAAAACGAAAACTTGAGTAAAAAAAATATATATTGTCAAGTTTAATTTTCGTTAAAAATACATCAACAAAAATAATTTTACAGTGCACTAGGTAAAAAATATATGTACATGCTCATATATGTATGTATTTAATTGATCCCCCACAGAGTCAGGTTGTGACACAAGGTCAGTTTTTAACGTGGGGATCCGAGTGTCTTCACTCGGGCCGCTGGTCTTAGCTGGGAATAGCTTCTTCAAGCTAATCAGATCTGGTCCAAGCTAGTCATAGCCGTGATACTACCAGGGACGGATCCCTGCACCCGGTAAATATCAATGTGTTACAAACTACTCGAGAGAGCAGTTTACACATGTGCATGCTCATGTAGAGGGTGAGAATTATGGTGTCTTTGCGTTGCTTTTGATGCCTTTTTATATCCTGAATCAGTCTTACAAAAACGACGCTGGTCAAACTTTCTTTTCCGGTTGTTTTTTAAAAAAACATGGTAGTGCCGATTGGATACGGTAAAACCAATCAGTTCTTCTGACCGACTATCATGTCTAATATCAAACTTATACCAACTGAAGTAGTCATTTCACATTGCTACTTTGGATCGGCAGTCCAAAAGTATATAACGCTATCTGGGTACGACTTTATTTCAGATAAAATAATAAAAAGTATTAAATAATTGGAAAAAATTGTATCGTCCCAAAAATGTCGGAAAAGAAATAATCACAGGGATTAACATCATATTTATTCACTATGATAATCCCTTTCAGTATTTGATGACTGATTACGTTCTTCAGAGCACATCATCCTGTAAGATGTCGAATGTTAGAATAACTTCAGGCAGAACTGTCGAACATCTGTAGAATGAAATCTATTATATAAAACTCTGTATATTAGCCATCAGAGGATATCAATGAAATTGTGTCGTTCCAAATGTCATTTTTTACCCCACCTCTTACCAAATCAAAAATACTATCATAGCCAAAAAGAGATGCGGTCAATGAGTCACATTGATTATATGCAACTCATTCAAGACAATTATTGTCTAGTTTCTGTCAATTGACATTTCAAATGTCCATGAATAGTATTAAATGCAGTTGGTTTTTAGAAAAGATGTTTTTTCGTTCGACATTTGTTTCCTAGAATCAATATAGCGATAACGTTTATTTCAAATAATGACGGTCTATTTTAGCAGAATTCACTAAATGTTGCAAAATAAATAGTATTTGAACACCACCCCAACTTCAGTCTCTCACCCTGCCATTTCCATTCAAATGATTAAACAGAAGATTTTATAAGTGCCTTTAAATAGTGATTCATGTCTGAAGGAGGCTGTGAAGAAGTTCTATATCTTTTTCTGTTCTTATTGAGAACATCTCCAGATCCAAATGCACCTGAAAGGAAATCATTAACAGGTCTGGAAGATCGATTCTATCAGCACAAGATGCAATTTGCCCCAAACAAAACAAAAAACAACAGCAAAAAAAAAAAAAAAATCTTGGAAAAAAGAATCTAAAAAATCCCATGAATTTTCATTAGGAGAGATAAATTTTTTTTTTTTAAACATTCTCTTACCAAAAACTCTCGCTTTTTGGGATAGGTGGGGGTGAACACTTCAATAATCGAAAAAAGTATCTAAATCTCATTTTCGGTGAAATTCGGCAAACCTGGCACTGAAATCGAAGTGCCTCGCCAGGATTTTGGTGAATATTCTTTTGATTAAGCAAAGATTTCTGTGTGGCACGTGCATTTCATGGCCGGTCGAGTGTCTGTTCAAGGTGAACAATCACCAACGAAGTAGCGGAAAATTTGGAAATTTCTGGTGTACGAAATGGTATCGGAAATTTCGCGGATTATTCGTACTGTTATTTTACCGTTCAACGGAAATGCAAGTAACAAGCATTTGTACCCAGTCTACTGAGTTAGTCTGCTAACAGGTATTCAATTTGTACTGTGTTGGAACAGCTCTGTGATGGCTGACATATTCGGATAACGAGCCAGCATTAAATTTTGGATGAAACATATCGTTGGAGCCAATTTTTATCAGGTTTTCCGAATGTCATATGGCGTTGCTGTGTAGCAGGATGATACATTTAATCAAAATTTATATCCATGTTCTCTTTCGTTGAACAGTATTTGACTGCATTCTCTCTGATCATGTGGCAGGAAGTCCACGTGCAACAGACCTTTTGCATCTTAAAACATAAGGGATATCATTATTAAATTCAATATTAAAAGAACCTCTCTCTGTATATATATCTATTTTATATTGTTCAAAGTATGTATGTTGTATGGAAACATTTAGGGTGTATCATAAAACCTGCAGAAAGCACCCCGGTCTCACTTGTCACATGAAAACCCGCGAGCAACACGAACAGAATTTACAAAACAAGCCAGGCCCTCTACAAAACAACTTAGTCCATCGCATCTTCAATAAGCATTATAAGTCACTATCTATCTATCTATCTATCTATCTATCTATCTATCTATCTATCATACTTTGAACAATATGTATGTATACATGCAAGGTGTGTCATAAAACCTGCAGTAATCGCTTTGTTCACACTCTTCACATGAAAATACGCGAGCAACACGAACAGAATTTACAAAACAGGCCAAGCCCTGAACAATCTAGCAAGCCATATCTGTACTAAAAATTGTAAATCACTTGCTGGTTTCAAGTGCATTTGTCGTTCTCACGAAAACTAAAAATATTTTGATTAAACTTGTCAGTAATAGTCATAGTCGTTTAACGAGTCGACATACATAATGTATGTATGTATGTATCTCAGTTTGTTAATATATAATATTAATCTATTTATCTATCTGGGTACTCAAATAGTAATAGTTTACTACCGACATTAATTGGCTATCTCTATGGAGAGACACACAGACACACACACGCGTACACACACACACACACACATATATACAGGATGCGGCAGAAATACCTCCCACATATACCTCCCAGAAATACCTCCAACATAAGACATTAGTTACAATGGTGTCTTCATCTAGCTAATGTCTTAACATTATGTGGAAGATATTTCTGTTCTCTATATGTGGGTGGTATTTCTGTCGTACCCTGTATATATGAACATCAACAAACATACACAAGCATAAGAACACACAAATATATATATATATATATATATATATATATATATATATATATATATATATGTATTGCATTGCATCTCCCGCTTTCTTAAGATGCAAAATCATCGCGATGACAATATACGGCATTTTTGTCGCCTGCGTCTTTGTTTTTCGTTATGTTAAACAAATGATGAGGCAAAATAATAGGTTAAAATCTATCTGATGACGCATCGGCAATTTTGAATTATATGAAATGATGGAGAACTGAAGCAAAAAAAAAAAAATTACTGACATTTGATTTCCAAGTTTGTTTGACGTTGCAACGCGTAGGCAGCGTAATCAAGTCACGTTTGTTTGTCCAAACGCTGGAGTACGTAGACAAGTTGGAATTGTTGCACGAATCGGTTTCGAAACCAAATTCAATGAATGGAAAAAGAGAAAAAAATGTCACAAAATGACTTCATTAGGAAAGAATTCTCAATAAAATTTCAGTTTCCTCCAGAGCCCACAGTTAGCAGGATTAAAAATGAAAACTCCAACGGATCGTTATCAACTGTGTCGTGATTCTGTTCATTGATACACGCTGGTTATATATATATATATATATATATATATATATATATATATATATATATATATATATATAAAGAAAAGAACAGTAAAATATATAATCCGGTGTTCTTATAGCTATTTTTATTTTTACAAAATAGTGCTCAAATAGTAAATGTAAATTTACAGAGCATTAATATTATAAATTAATTGATTTAAAATATGTTTTTTTTCGCTACACAGTTCTAACCATGTTTCAAAAATGGAAGCTAAAAGCTTCAAATTTAATTTTGTAATTAAATTCAAGACATATTTTATATATATATATATATATATATATGTGTGTGTGTGTGTGCGTGTGTGTGTGTGTTGTATTAGATGAATTGAGAACATAATAGATAAAAAGTGAATCAGTAAAACATGCTTGTTCGTAATTCATATTCTCATTTCATATTTTAAATATATATATATATATATATATATATATATATATATATATATATATATACACCACACACACAGTTATATATATATATATATATATATATATATATATATATATATATATATATATATGAATATATTACTCATAGAGTGTTGGTGTTAAAACTGTGATCGGTGTAATATTACAGAGCTATTAAGTATATACCAGTAGATATACATATTATCCCTTACCGGCTTGAAATTTAATGGATTCGATATAGTATTTCCACTTCATGTTAGCTGACAACATTAGCTTGAGAAGGCGTAACGAGTCACTTTACTGGAGGTTAGTATCAGCCAAACTGATGGAAGGAAGACATGTATCTCTCAGGTTCTAGGCTCGACGAATTACTATATGATTAGCCTAAATCCTCCAAATAATCACTTGTGTATCCTTGCTAGACCCAGTTAATGCTCTGCGATGGAGCGGCTAAGGGTCAAAAAGCAGTCGTGGCTTTTGGGCCACTGTTCCGAGATTATCTGAATACTTGGATGAGTATCGCTGCGGAACTGAGTGAGTAGCGGCGCTATATCGAGTCTAGAATGTGTTTTCTTCGTCACCGAGTCGCGTGGTACAGTTGGTATGACGTTTACGTTGTATCGAAACGATCCGAGTTCGTTTCTCAGCAGTAGATGTCAACTGCTGATGAGTCCCAGAAACGGCCGTCCAGTGCTTTCTGTTTAGCGTTATTCTAGGCTGGACGAATTACTGTGTGTGTGCATTTCATTCAATGTGACGGAGAATTTAATAATTTTTTTTATTCAGTTTTCTAATGTCCTTACAGTTCCCATTTTAAGGGGACTGAGAGAATATAGAAACTGTCCTTAATGATTATCGCCTCAAGTGCTTTCAGCATATTGATTCGCCATTTTTTCAATGGGTTTGTTGTTAATGTGATTTTTTTAATTTCTTTTGTGTTTCATTATGTGGTATAAATTATAAGCAGTGCAATAAGAAAAGTAGTTGAGATACCGTGTTGGGATGTCTTTTAATAGAACGCCAACATGTTACTGCCATTGCCAAATAGGGTAAGATTGACGTCTTTGAATTGTTATATATAAAGCCATTATCTTAAGACGTCGCCAACAATTAGATCTCTTTAGAATGATATTATCAACATGAATTTTCTAATGAGTGCAGACAGCTGTGTGTGAGTGCCCGGGTGCTTTTTTATGGCACTGAGATCACTTAAGTGGTTTTTCATCTTTCTACTAACTGTCGTCGACGTATGTCCAATGTCGATAATTGGTTTTTACAAGAGACGCAGTCTTGTACTGGGCAACAAAACTGATATACTCCATTAGTGGACTTAAAGTTAGATTTGATAGGCGTGTTGTTATTGGTAGTTTTTCATTTTCTACAGTAGACTGTAAATTTTAGACATTTGCTGGGGCCAACGGGTGAAATGTATTGTTTAATGATACGTCGCATTTGAATGGTGAATTCATTTTGTTTATAATTTTTGTGCATCTTGCTGCAGTATGATATATTAATGTTTTGTTGCACCCTATTTTTAGCGTTGGTGCCATCTAATTGTTATAGGAATAATTTTATTTGGTTATCAATATTGTAGTTGGGAAAATTATTATTACCAACGTTTGTTTTATATGTTTTAATTCATTAAAATATTTTATGGGAAGATGAAGTTAGGTAGACTACATTTAGGTGGATGTTTTTAAATCTCTTCTATTTTATATCTTTGTATGCATTCACTGTTATAGTGGATAAGGTAGAAGTTCTTATTGGAGATAACCATGACGTGCGTCTCGAAATGGACCTCCAATCAGCTGTGAACTGGGGCAGGAATTGGCTGGTCAACTTTAATGCTTCAAAAACAAAACTGCTCTCTATTAATCACCACAGAGATCCTTCCCTGCCCTCCATTAGAATGTCTGACGCTCAACTTCTCGAGAGCAACTCTCTGCGGCTGCTTGGTCTCACGTTGACTGCTGACATGAGATGGAACAAATACATTGAGTCAATTGCTTCATCCACCGCAAGGAAAGTTGGCTCCCTGTGTCGCGCCAGGAAATTTTTCTCCCCGGAATCGATCCTCCAGATCGACAAATCAACAATTCGCCCTTGCATGGAGTATTGCTGTCATATATGGTCTGGAGCCCCTTCTTTTTGATAGGATCCAGAGGCGGATATGCAATATAATTGGCCCTGCTCTGGTATCTCGTCTACAGTCATTCTCTCACAGACGCGCCGTCGCCTCTCTCTGTCTTTTTTACAAATACTTTCATGGCAATTGTTCCGAGGAGCTGCATTCGGTGGTTCCCAGACTTCATGAGTTCAAGCGCCCTACGAGACTGGCATCCCGCTCTCACCCTTTCACTGTCGAAACTCCTAAGTGTAGCCGTCTCTTCTACTCCAATAGCTTCATGTCTCGCACCTCTCGCATGTGGAACTCCCTTCCCTATTCCAGTTTCCCTGAGAGTTATAATCTCCAACTATACAAATGTAATGTCAATCGACATCTCCAGTTGCCTTGATCTATCCACTGTCCTTCTCCTCATCCTTTCCTCTATCACTCCTATCTGATCTTGCTGCAAATCTTCTGTAACCCCTTGCGTCCTTGTGGCTTCTTGCCTTGCTTGGGATGAAACGCTTAAAAAATGCATTGAAACTGAGTTCTATGTAAACCTCAAAGAAATGTGTTTTATTAACAATGAGTCCGTATGACAATTTTAGTGGAAATTTTTTTTTTTAAGTTGATTTTAGGTTTGTAATTTCATCAGTATTTCTTGATAAAAAAAATGTTATCAACGTATCTTATGTAGATTTATGGCTTGTTTGTTTTCAACGTGTGCCATGTAAAAGTTACAGAGTCTCGGGATTGTTCATACTAACTCCATTGGTTAAGGTGTCGATGTTACCTTTATAGTCAAAGAAGAGGGATCAAGTTGTACGAGCAAGGAGTAATTTCCAAAGAATTGCTGGTCTCATTATGAAAGGAAGGAATGATGGTTATTTGCAAATGTAATCACTGGTTATATTGATTATTTCCTGAACTGGGACGTTTGGGAAGGTATTTTCAGCGTCATAAGAAGCTAAGGTCCAACATATAGTTTTTTTTGTTTTTTTTTTATCTGGAGGAATTTGCTAGTAGACGCTATGTTGTAATTGCTGAGCATGTATGGTGAATTGATATAATTAAAGATTTTTTATAGATGATATACGGGTGTAGGTATTTAGAATATGATGGGTATGGTTCATAGAGAAACACCTTGATTATGAGGCTTTACATTTCCGTAAAGGTATTCAGGTTGGTAGTTCCCGATGATTTTATCAATTTTTAAACTTTCTACTTCTGCGTTGTTTATTGTAATAAATTTGTTCACATACTTATTTTTTCATAAATTTGTAAATTTTGACA